GTGAGAGATATAGAGCACAACGTTAGTAAGAGGTTTTAATAAGACTGCAGCAACTAAACATTTTTAACAGTGCACAACTTTGTCAGAGTGGAGGCCCCAGCAGCGTTTGAGGTTCGAGTTGTCTGATGGACTGAGATTTCCTTCATCCCGTATTGTGACTGTTTTGGAATAACCGTGTCCACGTGTCCTTATGAATGCACACACCACAAAAAAAACACAAGCATTCACAGACCTAAAGCACACAGAACTGGGAAACTCACATCATTCCTCTTCTTCCTCTCCAGTGACTTTTGTGTTGCTGCTGACAGAGAACTCTTTCCACTGGGCTGGCCTGTGTTCCACTCTAAACAAGCACATACACACACAAGCATAAATATCTATGTACAGAACAGATTAGTCTTTACACTACCCACTATAGTATTTTATAAACACTCATTAACATTTGTAACATGTAATATAGAAAGGGACATGTACATTGAAACAGTGAAGAATCAATGTTTCAGTCCTTTCTGCCTAGTTTAAAGAAACAAAATTAATAACATAAGTACTGCGTTTGAAAGAATAAAATAAAATCACAGCCTACTCAAGGCGTTAATGTTGTGCCTTCATTCCACCTCGTAAGTTTGTTTAAAAACGAGGAATGGGGTGGGGACTGTTGTTCCGCCTTCATACTGGCAAGGCGAGGGTTAGGGTCACAAAGCCAAAATGATGTCTGTCCGTGGCAGACAGTTTGGTTACACATCATGCCTCTGATCCGGCATGGCAGCATGCTATCTAAAATCACAACACTTGGGTGGCAATATGTGTCGCTTGTTTGGTTCAGTGTAAACAAGAAAAGAGGCATAATGTGGAATAAAAAGAGGGGCGAGTGAGAAATGTTGGCGCCCCAAAGGTCTGGACAGTACTTAAATTCATAACGGCATTTTGAATTTGAACGATTGGAACTGGATCATAACTGCTGTATTAAACACTGATATTTCTGTGTCGTGTATTCTGCCAGTGTTTTCTTTCAGCATTGTTTGTAATCCGCTTTTTTAGAGTGAGAAACCCACCACTCTCCAATGTGTTATCATTTTTTCAGCTTGGCCAGAGTTCCTGAAAAAGGTTACCTCTTCGTCTGAGCTCTCTCTCCCGTGCAAGCTCTCTGTCCCAGCTGATGAGCTGCATCCTCCTCTCCGGCTGACAGGCTGAAGAATATGTCGTAGACTCTCATAACCGTGCAGCACGCAGCTGGAGGGCAAACAATTACAGAGCAGATGATGGCTTGATAGAATGCATGTAAATCAACAATCTCTTTGTGGTAACTGCTAATGGAGGATAATTGCCCAGTTGTCAGTGTAGAAGAGAAGTGGCGTGAGGTTAACAGATGTTTACAACATGTGTTGCCTTCATACCTGCAGAGTGACTCTCTCTTGCATAAGAGGCCTGTCTGCTACAGGACTCTCCTCTGCCGGGACTCTGCTGCTGGAAGGCATGCAAGAACTGCTGTGTGTCCTAGAAGTCCAAACACACACACACACACACACAAACACACACAACACACACACACACACACACACACACACACACACACCACACACACACCACACAACAAATGTTGTGGACAGCAACATCAAGTTCACTTGGGAGGATGTCAGAGGAAATAGTCTGCAGTGCACATTGAAGACGACAGAAGCCTCAACATCAAAAAGACACACACACACACACACACACACACACACACACACACACGTTGGGGGTTATCAGAATCCTACACCATTGGGCCCAAAACATGCCCACGAGGACAGAGGGGAAGGAGAGGTAGCAAAAACACATCAGGGCAGCACTTAAAATGTTGAGTTACTCAAACTGCCCAGGTTACTCCCTTCTCAAGTGGCTTAACATCAATTCACACTATGACTCATGTCACCCTAATGACTCACATGATGGTCGGGTGGGTCAATGACTAACATGTGGCCTCAACGACTCTCAGGGTGTTAGCGACCCCACAAGAAGTTAAATGTCTGGGACTCCACCCTAGTCAGCTAGAACTGAAGAAGCCTTTCACATGAGAGATGAAACGTCTTCAAGAACCTCAAGCAAGTCCAGTTGCCTTTGTATAGTACTTGGGCTTGTCTTCTCCTCTATGTCACACACCTTAACTAACAGCTGGATCTGTTGTGGTGGGACTGTTTTAGCCTGTATAAACATCACACTGAAGTTCATGAGCAGTTTTCAACCAGCAGCACTTCAGAGACGCGATGCACCTGAGAAACGTTGCTGAGATAGACACAAACCCAAAGCGGATCTGCTTGCACGGCTCACCGATGCTCCTCGTCACGTCACTGACTGAAACTGGGGGTTGCTGTTCATTTATTATGTGTGCACTGCACTCTGAGGTTCACTCATAGTTCATTTGTTCTGAACACTGTGCAGTTTTTTTTTTTCCAAAGCATGATGGGATGTTTTTGACAGCTGGTGTACTCACAGCAAACAAAGAATTAGAAAGGGACTTTATATAGCCAATACTGATGCATCACAAACATGCCTGGATTTGAAAGAAATTTTTTTTTTCTCAAACTGTTCCCCTTAACAGTTCTCAATCCTGCTGAGATGTTGCTTTTGGAGGCAGGACTTCAAACTCTATCCAAAAAAATCATGACTTTCTAGCAGGTGGATTTTTTTCATTTCAGAGAAATTAGGAGGAGGAAGCTGAGGACGCGTGTCTCACCTCAATAAACATGTTTCCATGGAGCTCGGACAGAGCATTTCTGGGTAGACCGCTACGCAGGTGAAGTCCATCACAGTTTTGAGACACAACATGCTTCACCTTCAAAGAAACACACACATTGTATTTATACTATAAATACCATTATCCATAAATACCACCAGAGCACTGAACAGAATGAGTTATCTATCTATGTCCCACACACCATCTTTTCCTTATGTAGCATCCTAATGCACATGTGCGTGAGGGTCGGCTCTGCTTTACTCAGGTCAGACGAACTGTTTGTAAAGAGAAATAACAAGATGACAGAACGGGAGTTTAGGTCACTTTAGAAAAAATATGCAGCTAATATCACATCATCAATGGCTGCAGATCTCACCTAACTGTCCGTCCCTTCTGTAGCTGTGTCCACACCCCATTAGGACCCCTGTAGTCTGGGATAGAAGCTGCCTGAAAGGAAAGAAATAATATAAGTATAAGTAGTCAGTAGTAAAATATAAGTAGAAAAACAACAGAGGAAACAGAAGATGCAGAGTTTGGCGCACCGTACTGATCCCAGCTCCAGTGTAAACCACCAGGTGATTTGCTTGTTTGACTGCCACAGCCAGCTGTCTGACTTTACTTTTCAGCTCCTCAGCATCATCAAACACCTGTAGAAATTACAGAAAATTAAGATGTTTCAAGTTTATGGCCACACACACACACACACCTATTGTATGAAGTAGCAACCAAAGCAGGTTTTTATGAAATATGATTCACTTAAAGTGACTTAAATCATTGCCAGATTCTAGTAGTACCTCCTCCATTGTTTTTCAATGAAATCTACACATTTTGTTTTGATATTTCTAGTGGATATGTGGACATTTTGGCCTGACAGAGATGCAACAGGAAAGATTGAAACATACAGTATCTCCTAAAGAGCAAATTAGTAAATGCTTTGCTGAGCGGATTCATGTTTCTTGTGGTGTTTTGTCTTTAATGACACCCTGGGTTTTCTATCCTTACTTTAGACACAAAACTGCTAGTATCTATTGGGGCCAAGGCTGGATTGCCGACAAGACAAAACAGGCAACCGCTCTATTTAATGAGCCGACAGACTAAAATGAAAAGGACCCTGAAAACGTGGGTCCTGTGTTATCATCTAACCTTGAGGCCATGTTTTGTGGATCAGCCATGTATCATCATCTAGTTTGATTTTCATTTTAATAGTTTGTGAACATTGTAAATTATCTGTGCAAATATTCCTTACTCCATTATATCTATCTGACAGCTGTAGATCAAGTTTTTTTTTTTTTTTTTTTACATTAAAAGCATATGGCCATCTTATAAAATACGATTAAAGTATGCAGCAATATTTAATGTAGTTAAAATGATTTTTCATGTTACAGCACTTACATGTTAAGACACAAGTAATACTGAAACAATAATGTATAAATAACAATACCCCATCATGAAATGGCCCATTCTGCAGAAAGGGTACTTTTATTTTTATATTTAAGAACATTTTTCTGATAATACTTCTTAAGTTTTACTTCAGTAAAATCTTTAAAGACTTTGACTTTATACTCTAATGGATAGTATCCAGCTGTTAAGAGCTGTAGTCACGGTGAAACCACTGGAATAACTTGAGTGGCTTTTGTCATTCAGACTGAGACAGGTTTGGTTCTTTGTTAGTCGCCCACTGCAGGTGAAAGGCCACCTAGGTAAGATACGCTAAAGTAAAGAAGTAAGCTCACTGGGCCTGAGTCTCACCTCCTCCTGCTTCCTCTTGAGCACATTCCTGCGGACTTGTCTCTTGCAGAGCTCCTCCACAGTGTCTCTGTGCAGCAGTAACACAGCTGCCTCCTCCTCTGACCGTTCAGCCTCCGGTTTCTTCAGGACTCTTCCTACCTTAAGTCAACGAAAACGTCAAACCTGGTAAGGATCAGTAATATACTGCTGTTTTAGCCAGCTAGCTTGGCGCTCGCAGTTTTTAAACTTGCTGTTTTCTCGCCTTACCAGACTGAAAATCTTTCTCTCGCTTTCCCGTTGCAGTATTTTGGCCTTTTCTAATGCCTTTCTCTCAGCCCGTGAAGAGACACCGGTTCCTGACTCCTCTGCCATCCCGTTTTACATCAGCTGAGAAGTGGCTTTCTATTCAAAACAAGGCTCATTGCACCAGCGACCAACGACAGCCGGGCCGGATGTTGTCCGTGTCGAGAGGAAACAGGCAGCAGCGCCCTCTGCTGCTTGGAGTCTGTACATATTCTTTAATCAAGTCTGAGCTTTCACAAACTTCACAGCAACATTAAAGTATTAAGAAACATTTATTGCCAGCCACATAGAAATAAATAACAAATAAAACAGATCCAAAATCCTTAAGAATAAAAAAAATAGCAAAGGTTCATGTGTGTTTTGGCTAATATGTAATCCATATACTCTAGGACAAGTATTTAAGGCAACACTTGGTAGTAAAACACTATTAAAGTGTTAGCATCAACACCAACATCAAGCTGGATATTAACATTTGGACATGTGCGGGTACAAAATACTATAAATGTCATACTGAGTGAGTTGTGTGCTAATACATCTGAAGATGGTCTGTTTTTGGTGGCGATTAATCAGGCACATAAATACAAAGGAACTGGATAATTAAATGTGAGTCCAGCCTACAAAGCAGAGGTTTAACATTGGGCAACTGGAAAAACACTGAAATGCACATTCAAGTAATTAACTGGTCAATAAAGGTTTTTAGGGGTGGAAATTTTGACATACTGTAACGTGATAGGCACAGATGTAATTATTAACCTTAATCATAGTTGCACTCCAAGTTGGCTGAGCTACTTCACATGTTGCAAGTATACAAGTAAACAATTAGCCAATGAGTACTTTTTCCATAACACAATGACTTTTCTGAGAATTTTTTTAGAAGCTTGGTCCAGTAATTGAATTGAAAAATACTCAAATTACAACAAAAAAAATCTATAATCTAGTGTTGCACAAATATGTTGCTGCTGCTTTTCAGTGCTAATTATCTCACAAGCTCTACCTCCTGATCCCCAGGTTGGGAACCACTGGCCACTGGAATGGAGCTATCATCGATATCATTCATGACTGAACTTGTGCGTTTCCTATGTCTGCTGTGAAAAAAAAAAGTTTACAGATCATTTTTCAGGTGCAGTGCAGAGCTGTGAAGATGCTGCCAAAGGATTCCAAAGTGTTTTTGCCAGCAAAACATTTTTCCCAGTAACATATTCAACATGAATACACTGAAAAGGACTGGTAAAGAATTTCTATTGCAGACAGCGGTTACCGTGAAGTTTTATGAGCTGTAGTCACTATAATAATTTATACCCTGCTTGAAGAGGGTGAAAAAACATTCCCCAGAACTCCGGATATGAAATACAAAAATATGTTAGTAAGCAACAGGCTTCACTTTGTGTCAAATTTGGATTTTGGATTTGGAAATTCTCAGATGATTAGTTATACAATATTCATGTAATCGCTAGAGGCCTTATTAGGAGTCCTCACTGGGGCCAATTAGGAAAGTGTCATCGGGGTCTGGTGGAGTAAGTGCTCTTGGGAACCCTCTGAGGATTTGCTCTGAACTGTCCTCGTTTGGTTTCCAGCGACTGCTCAGCAGAGAATCCAGTCTTATGTCCAGTCCTTGTTGCAGCCCCCCTATGCCTTTCTGCCTTTTTCTGGATCCTGGAGGAGAGAGAAGAAAGGTTTAAGCTGCTGACAAAGCTACTGCCCATGAAAAAAAAAAAAAAAACCTCCCCTATGGTACAAGATTTTCTGTTCATTAAAAAAATTAAGCTGAATGCTGCTATTTTAGCTAGCTGTGACAATTAGAGGAACACTTCTGAAAAATGTGTGATCGGGAATTTTAATTGCATGGGATCTGGAGTGATGAGATATAGAGCACAACGTTAGAGTAAGAGGTTTTAATAAGCTGCAGCAACTAACATTTTTAACAGTGCACAACTTTGTCAGAGTGGAGGCCCCAGCAGCGTTGAGGTTCGAGTTGTCTGATGGACTGAGATTCCTTCATCCCGTATTGTGACTGTTTTGGTAATAACCGTGTCCACGTGTCCTTATGAATGCACACACCACAAAAAAACACAAGCTATTCACAGACCTAAAGCACACAGAACTGGAAAACTCACATCATTCCTCTCTTCCTCTCCAGTGACTTTTGTGTTGCTGCTGACAGAGAACTCTTTCCACTGGGCTGGCCTGTGTGTCCACTCTAAACAAGCACATACACACACAAGCATAAATATCTATGTACAGAACAGATTAGTCTTTACACTACCCACTATAGGTATTTTATAACACTCATTACATTTGTAACATGTATTAATAGAAAGGACATGTACATTGAAACAGTGAAGAATCAATGTTTCAGTCCTTTCTGCCTAGTTTAAGAAACAAAATTAATAACATAAGTACTGCGTTTGAAAGAATAAAATAAAATCACAGCCTACTCAAGGCGTTAATGTTGTGCCTTCATTCCACCTCGTAGTTCTGTAAAAACGAGGAATGGGGTGGGGCACTGTTGTTCTGCCTTCATACTGGCAAGGGGAGGGTTAGGGTCACAAAGCCAAAATGATGTCTGTCGTGGCAGACAGTTGTGTTACACATCATGCCTCTGATCCGGCATGGCAGCATGCTATCTAAAATCACACACTTGGGTGGCAATATGTCAGCTTGTTTGGTTCAGTGTAAACAAGAAAAGATGGCATAATGTGGAATAAAAAGGGGCGAGTGTGAAATGTTGGAGCCCCAAAAGGTCTGGACAGTACTTAAATCATAACGGCATTTTGAATTTGAACGATTGGAACTGGATCATAACTGCTGTATTTAAACACTGATATTTCTGTGTCGTGTAATTCTGCCAGTGTTTTCTTTCAGCATTGTTTGTAATCCGCTTTTTAGAGTGAGAAACCACCACTCCTCCAATGTGTATCATTTTTTTCAGCTTGGCCAGAGTTCCTGAAAAGGTTACCTGTCGTCTGAGCTCTCTCTCCCGTGCAAGCTCTCTGTCCCAGCTGATGAGCTGCATCCTCTCTCCGGCTGACAGGCTGAAGAATATGTCGTAGACCTCATAACGTGCAGCACGCAGCTGGAGGGGCAAACAATTACAGAGCAGATGATGGCTTGAATGAATGCATGTAATCACAATCTCTGTTGTGGTAACTGCTAATGGAGGGAATAATTGCCCAGTTGTCAGTGTAGAAGAGAAGTGGCGTGAGGTTAACAGATGTTTACAACATGTGTTTGCCTTCATACCTGCAGAGTGACTCTCTCTTGCAATAAGAGGTCCTGTCTGCTACAGGACTCTCCTCTGCCGGGACTCTGCTGCTGGAAGGCATGCAAGAACTGCTGTGTGTCCTAGAAGTCCAAACACACACACACACACACACACACACACACACACACACACACACACACACACACACACACACACACACACACACACACACACACACACACACACACGTAATGCATATGTTTGTTCACTGTATGACAATAAGACAGAGTGCTGCTATAGGCAAACGTGACACTGCTGTCTCTACTTACCCTGATGGTGCGCACCAGCTGCGCCACTCTCTCCGTCCTCAGCAGCCTGCGAGTTAGAAAGCCTCTCACGGCTGCCGACAGCAGGGGGCGGCAGTGCTCTGACAGTGGGCTGGAGGGCTGAGGAAGAGGATGAAGAGGGGAGAGCGCGTAATGAGAGGGGTGAATAATGAGGACCAGAGGGGAAGACAGAGGAGAATGCTAATTCCATCAATGACAACCAATTAATTTCCCATGCAGATTCTCAAGGTCTTTTGGTTGGCATCTGTTTAGTGCATCAACGCAAGTGGACTCACAGCTCATCATTATAATAGGAAATAATAAGAGGAATAATAAGCAGCTGATGTGCTGTCACTCACTTGTTGATTCTAGAGCTGTTGCATTAAAGGGACATGTTTGTTGAACAAATGTAGTCTAACTGACGCTGAGCTGTTGTTCTGGGGTAGATACTGGAGAGTAATAACAGATGACAGGGGTTACTGATGAGGGATCAGACATCGAGGGGGAACTATCTGTTTCACCTGAGTGTGTCAGCCAACTGGTGATGAATAAAAATCCTGCGGATACAAGGATAAGCAGGACAAGCTTTTCGCATCACTGACATTAGTGAACAAATGTGATGGTAATACCTGAGAGAGGGTAGAAAAGGTCAGCGTGTCCCTGAGACGTGAGGTTGACATGGAGCAGGGGAAGGACATGCTCTGGAGGAGATGGTAACGCACCGCTAATGCCTGAGAAAAAGACAGACAAAGAGAGACAGACAGGAGGACATAAGGGTGGAGGGGGGGGGATAAGAGGAGAAACGCGTGTGTGCGTGTGCAGGCATGCACGTGTGCATTTGGGAGCAGGCAAGGTTGGAAAATATTGAATTGGAAAGACAGCAAATGAAGCAGGAGGAAGAAATTAATTGAGGGTAGAGAGAAAGAGACAGAAGGGGAGAGATGGGGCACAGAGGCAAGAGGGATGAAATGAGAGAGGGAGCAGAGGAGGAGGAGAGGGATGACGGGGATGATGAGACAGGAGAGATGGAGAAAATTAATACACCCAGAGAGTAAAAATGATGTTGGAGGAGGTATGAGACAAAACAAAGAGAGGGATGAGAGAAGAGGAAAAAAAGAGGAGAAGGATAAGGGACCATTAGCGGTGGCACTCGGCGGGACGATCTGGCACTTAACCACAGACGCTCATGAATTAAACAAATTATCCTTTCCTTTTCTGTGTCAATTCCCTCGGCCCCCTCCTCCCTCTACCAGAGAGTCCAGCCAGCTCATACTCTCATCACATCACAAATGATGGAAGGACAGAGGGGAGTCGAAAAGAAGTCTTTTTTATTAAACAGCTTATGTTAATTATATTGTTGTTAAGGATACATAAATTAAACAGAGACTGTGATTAATAGGGCAAGGACACTGGCCAAGAACAAATACAGACACAAGCTGAAGAAACACAAACTGGTTGCCAGTGAACAGCAGGCGTCCTTGAAGTCTCACACACACACACACACACACACCCACACACACACACACACACACAGACACACACACACACACACACACAGACACACACACACACACACACACAGACACACACACACACACACACACAGACACACACACACACACACACACACACACACACCACACAGGCGACCATGCCAGCTCGCCTCTTAGGGATGTAATGAAACATTTATGGTAGAATCTGTGTGTGTGTGTGTGTGTGTGTGTGTGTGTGTGTGTGTGTGTGTGTGTTCTTTACTGAGGAGTCTGAGGGTCTCTTGTAATGAGCAGATGTCTGTAGTCTGCCCACGACCCAGGTCTCCAAACGCACACTCTAACAGGTAGGCGGACATGTGTGTGTGTGTGTGTGTGTGTGTGTGTGTGTGTGTGTGTGTGTGTGTGTGTGTGTGTGTGTGTGTGCTCACATGTGTAACAGTGCCAGAGCCTTTCAAACGACTGCTTCTAGCTTCAAAAGAACATTTACGGTCAGTGTTGTATCACAGCTTAGTGAATTGGTTGGAAACTCTCACAGTCTATTTTCATTTTAAAATGATGGAAACACTGGGCTGGACATTAATTCTTAATTTCTCGTAGGTGACTTTGTGTGGAGTCAAAATCCCTGGTAGAGTGAGTTATGGCAGCGGTACAGGAATTACATAGTGCATCACGTACAGCAATATGTGATGCAATCTCATGCAAGAAGCGGACCAATGGGATAGAGGAAATGTCAATGACTGTGTTTGAACCATATTTAGAGTTATAATAAAAGTTTGGTCGTTTCTGTGTTTCAGAAACATGTAATTTCAGGTTTTCTGTCATTTTCTCCATATCATTTTACACTCAAAGCAAACCTTGTCATTTGAATTCAAGAGGAAAAGTTAAGGATAAGACTGGCAACTCACAATACAATACTCAATATTGCTTGTTGTAAAAAAAAAACCTGTTTAAATTTCCTCTCCCGTCTGTTGTGTTCAGTCTCAAGCCTGTTTGTGTACTGACATTCATCTCACATTTTACTGTGCTGTAGATTTCATTTCAAATGGACAAAATTGCCAATCTATGCTCAATAACCGATAATGACAAAGAGATATCTTAGGATTTTTTTTTTGCAAATCTATTTAAAATGAAACTGTGATCTCTGCAAAAATGCCACTGACCAAGCGTGTTTATTCTTGCTGCGTACTGGCCTTGTAACAAAAGGTACCTGTCATATGCCAATGTGCGTCTGACTACATCTATCAGCAACAGTACATACCTAAAATGTACAAGGTTTGTTTGCAGATAGCCTAAAGAGGTTAAGATTACAGTTGTATTGTCAGATAAAGCTCCAATAATGCAGCAGTAGACTCCGGCCACCTATTGTTTGGCTTCATCTATCACTATTTCAATATTTGTTTTTTGTTTAGTTTCAGATCTGCCATCTTAATAACCTCCACTTCTTTATGCAGTATTCCCATTAATCCTACTGTCTCACCTGTAGTAGTTCTTCCTGTTGTCTCCTGTGCTCATCTTGCAGGGCTCTAACCTGAGCAGCATGGGCCTGTTTCAGTTCTTCTTGCTTGTTCTTTTGACTGCCATGGCCTTCGTACCACCTCACTGCAGCTAAGACCAATAAGCACAATAGTACATTGTCAAATATGATGATAAACTGCTTGCAAGACAAAATCCTGACTAATACAGCAGAAGGGTTTAAAACCATGTTTCATGGAGAGCAGGAATAACAGTATGCAGTATTACAGTATCACCCTTGTAGTTTTCTAGCAGTGAAAACCTCCATACTCTCAGCCCTTCATCGCTCACATTTTGACACCCCTGTCCTTCCCAGTCCTGGTCTTACCTCTGGGAGTGCTGGAACTGGGTCTGACCACACAACCTGCTCCTCTGCTGGTATCAGCACTCGTTTCGCGGGTCTCTTCTGTTGTGTGCATGAGCAGTCTCCGTTTGACCTTGGATACACCACCCTGACCTTCACCCCCACTCTCTGGGGTCAGGTGCTTCTCCTGATCAAGGTGACCTTTCAAGCCCAAGTCGGACCCTGGCCCCTCGAGGAGCCACAGGCCAGATGGTGTGTCCACATCATAGGACTGGTTGAGAGATGGCGAGTGAGTAGAGTCATGACCTTCCACAGCCATCTCATTCCTCCTTTCCACTGGATGGTTACTGGTATCCGAAAGCACTGACAAGTTACACTGAGCCATCGTTTTAGATGGAACATTTCTGAATGCCTCAGGAATACGCATCTGCTGTGCTACAGACAGGATACATTTAGCTGGTGGCTGCTGCACTCTACAGCTGCCATGCAGTCCAAAACTCTGCGCAAGTCCTTTTTTACTTGTTCCTTTTTCCTTGACTTTCTCTGAAACTAAGGTTTTGATTAGCTTGATCTCTTTCAAATTAATTTCCTCTGTTCCCTTTTCCTGCATGATAAGAACATCATCCGCATCACTGAAGACTGATTCAGGTCCTGTATCTTCATGCACTTTTTGGCTATTGTTGAATGATTGTGTTCTTGGCCACTCCCTATATTCTGCATCACTTGCATCAACATCATCATCCCTCAGATTGTACTCCCAATCAAAACAATCATTTTGACATAGCTGCACATATTGATCATTTCTATTTTGCTCAGAATGCGCAATACCTTGAACTCTGAACTCACTTGGCGTGTTGCTGTCAGTTTGGCTGTGATCCTCCAAGTTTTCTTTTACGGTGGACTCCAGATCTGAGATCAGAACTTTTAGACTGGACAGGTTTGACTCAAGCTGATCTATGTGCGCTGAACTCTTGGCTAAAACATTTGTAACATTGCCTTCAATCGTGAGATTCACAGTGGAAGGAACTGCTGTGGGACTGTTTTGATGTCCCAGGTTACTTTCTCCATCAGCACTGAGACCTTCATTCAAGCCAGTATTGAACACAATTTTCCCCTTTGAGGTATTGGACGCATCGACAGGTTCTCCATTTCTGACTTTGCTTTTGCAATGAACAGGACTCGTACAGAAATTAGGGGCCGGGATAGTGTGATATTTCCCTACTCCTTTAAAATTACTTTTGGAACAGGTGACACTCAGCTCATTGGTCAAGTGAATGGCTTCCTGGACTGGGGAGGCTTCTGTTGACACAGGCTGTTGCTGGATGAAGGCACTGATTTGTTTAGGCTCCATTATGACCTCTTTTGAACTGTTCAGCTTATTATTTTTGAAAGTTGTTTCTTCCTCAACTCTAGTCATTTCCTTAGAATTCCCATCCCCTGTAAAAAGAGGGATTTCGGATTTAACATCAGTCTTCTTCCCCATGAACTCACTTTCAATCATCTTCTCATTTTCCCAGGATTTCTTTAATGAAGTTTCCACTGTCAGAGTAAAAGTGTCTCTCTTCTCTTTAGTTTTCTTCCCTTCACCAGTCACAGTAGCCCTGTAAGGGGACTCGTCATTCTCCTTATCAGAGAGGCTCTGCTCCTCTGCCCTTGCTCTTGGCTGTTCTTGAGTCCTCTGCTGGATTTTAGTGTTTTTGGCTTGGTTCCTGAGCATCCGCTGGTGGCGCCGATACTCCTGAGATTTCTTCAGCAAGGCCTGGAGGCTCAGACGATAAGGCTCCTCAGATAGCTTTGCTTCATCTACATGGTTGTCTGCTGGTTCTGTTTCAGTGGGTTCGTGCTGACTATGCAGTCCTGTTGTTGGACAGTGACGAGTGCTTAATGTCTCTGATAATTCTGGATTATCTGAAAAGCCAGTGTTGTCTGATGAAGAGACTGGGTCCTCACTTATGTCCAAAATGTGATCTTTGTTAAGGTCAAGTACTGTAGTAGAGTGACGGTTATCTCCACTCTCTGTGCTGTCCACATGGCTGCTTTCAGATTTTTCTGCTGGTAAATGGTTACATTTGACTGAATCCTCCTGGAATGAGGTGCAACAAATGTCTTTTACTGCTGTGAAGTTATTACAAAACAATGGCTCCAGTCCACTCTTCTCTAATTCCTCTCCATCTATGGGAGGGTGGCTAATAATTTCTGGCATCTTGGCAATTGTATGTGAGGTGCTGTGAAGGAAAAAGCCACTCATACTATGACCTCCCTCTGAGGAGCCAAAGACATGGCTCTCGCTCCCTGCATCAATCATTCCAGAGACACCGATGGTGTTATCAACATTCTCGTAGGTCATATAACCTGAGGATAGTGACTGGTGGCTCACATCATTAAGGGAGCTTGGCTGTGATCCCTTTTGGCTGTCATGTTGGTCAACAAGGCATCCCTCATGGTAACTTTGCTGAGGTATCACATCAGAAGTGAAAAAGGCACTATACATCGTTGATGTCGCTGGAAGAAGAGAAAACTCATCCTTTCCTTGCCTTAAAGGGGGTGGCGAGAGCAACAGACTATCCTTTGTAACGCTAAAAAAATTACTCTGTGACACTGATCCACTACTGGTGTTGCGGGAGTATAAGGATTTTGTGTTCTCTGACTCCTGAAGCAACTCCTCCAGTGTTGGTGTCTTCCTCAGCTGAAAGTTATGAGAGAAATTAAAGAAAATAGTGAAAATAATGACTATTATGTCTAATGACTCCATTCATTGAAAAGAACTGCAGTGACGTAGGAACATAAATGCAGGCACATATTAGGCTTACAAATAGGAAATCTGAAAAGGTAGGATGTCGGTTACCTGTACACTGTGCAGTATGGTTTGTACAAAGGCCATTCTTGATTCATCTTTCAACTTTATGTGTCCAGCAGCTTTCTGTGCTGCATCTCTGTGTTGCTGCATCTCCTCTCTCTGCTCCTCTGAGAGCTGTTATCATCACAAAGCAGACATGGGGTGTCATGCATAGTTCATACAATGGCTGCAACTAAAGATTACTTTCATTATAAGTTATTCCCATCTTTTGATTAATCAATTGAGTGTTTGGTCTATAAGATGGCCAGAAACAGTGAAAATGCATATCACAAATTCCAAGAGACCCAGGTGACTTCCTCAAATTGCTTGTTTTGTCTGACCAACAGTCTAAAGCCCAAATATATCAAAGTTAAGACAGATAGTGGGCTTTGTTAACCTAAAATTTGACAAGCTAGAAAAAGGTGTAGTATGTTGTAAATATAACTGACTTCAATGAATACCTTATAATCAAAATAATGGTAATTTTCTGTTGATTGACTAATTGTTTCAGCACTATTTCACATAAAAACAGTTACCAGTTCCAGCATGGCAGTGCAATACACACAACACAGACAGCCAGCAAAGTGGCAGCCTACGGCCTTCAGTTTATGTTTGGCTAAGATTAAAATCCACAGTCACGATGATTTTACTAGAAATGACATAAAGCCGAGCTCATACCAGGGGAGGAAGGATGGGCCGTCCATAGACACGGATGAGAGAGGATGGAGGTGAAGGTGCGCTGTGTTCCTGCTCCTCCTCACTTTTCCTCAGCTGGGAGACACAACGCTGCACAAACCTGTCGTAGTCCTCCATCAAGTTGCATCAGGATACGGTAGGTTGTAACGGTAGACAGTTTAAGGTATAAGGTTAATATATTAACGTTATCGTTAATGTTATCCTGTTGCCTTTGTTATTGTTAGCTGCCGAGCTGTAACACTAGCTAGCTAATCCAGATAGCCACAGCGCGCCTGGTTAGCATTTATTACCCAAACTGGTGACGTCAAAATACAGTAAAGCAGTACGAGAACAAAACGAATCAACGGGAGAGCAGCTCTGCAATGTGACCTTTGATGGAAAAAAAGGTTCTACAAGCTACGAAACAAAAGTTTCCATCAGGATGGATCAGTGTTTACATTTTTACCCGCCTCTCCTCCCAGAGCAACAGACAGTGACAGTTGGAGCCCACCGAGGCGCTCAGAAAACCCGGAGTGGATTAGCAGCATGAGAGTGGATTTACTGAAAAACGAATATGCACATTTAAAACACAAAACATAACTTTAACTAAGAGAACATCACATTAACCAAACACAAATAACCTCTTCTTCATTGTCGACGATATTTCTACGTTGCTAGTATCAATAACGGATAAAATGTTATGGCGCTCCATGTTTTTGCAGGAGCCAGACCGGTTTGAGATAAAGAGAGCTGGTGGTAACTTGATACTGCCACCTACAGACTGGACTGGCCAAACAAAGAAATGAGCAGATGGGAATAATACTTGAAATAAAGTTAGGGATACAAATTGTACCCTTGATTGCAGCCACGAGTTTAAGGCTATATTTTTCATATTCAGTCATATGCAATTGTAAATGTATTAATCCCATGTCAACGTGATTTTGTAAACCATGGTTTCTTCTCAGAATTGTATTGTTTTTAGGTATTAAATTGATTGGCCCCTAGATTAAAGCTGCCATACATCAGTGCAAGTTTAACAGGAGTTCAAATCAGTGTCTGCACTGCATGCCAGCAGACCTTTGCTCACAGTAGACATTTGGAGTTGTCACAGCAGGAAAAGCACAGGTGAAACTAATAACATCAATGATGACAATGCTCCAGCAGTTGTAGCAACTCAATGCAGATATTGACAGTGTTATTAGTTTCACCTGTGTTTTACAAATCAAAATGTCTGTATTGTGACACATATTTATTGTACATGTATAACAAATACATGTAGGACATTTTAAACCGTTATGTCCATTTAGTATTATATGGTCTTTTTTCTACTTTCTCTATTTTCTTTCTCTGTTTTAATTCAACAGCAGCAGAGACTTCAGAGTGAAAAACGGTTTGTATTGCGTTTGTTAAAAGGCTGTTAGTGGTAACTGATTCATTCTTCTCATTTTCATGCATAGGAAATGAGGAAACTTGTTTCACTGAACGTGACTAATTTAAATCTGTAAAAGTTATGATTTAGTGAACAGAATACATGTGCAACATCTACTGTTAGTGTGTAATATCTGTTGTCTACCTACATTTTCCCATATTTAGCTCAGCACTATGTGAGTAATAAAAGTAAAAAACTAAAGATAATAAAAACTATTATTCCCATATTTCTTAATTACACAAGACACACAAAAGCTGTTCCATTTTAAAACATGTTTATTGGTCATATACAAAATAAAGTAAGCTGTTTATCAACAAACATACAGTATATACATCAATAAATTAAAAGATGCATCAGACCGATGATGAAACAGTTAATTTCATGATTACCAGTACCTTGTCATCATCACTTACATATCTACAAATTGCAAAAAAAGTACAATAATTTAGTTGAAGATAAATACTTACAAAGACTGTCACATTTTAAGTATTTTCCCATAGAAAGTACTGTCGTAGAATAATTTATTACACCCCATACAGAAATATTACAAAACACAGAATTTCCTATTACAAGGGCTTTTCTTCTATAGCTTTAAACTGACCGTTATATACTTTTAGAAACACAAAAAATATCCCAGCTCCCCAGAGCAACCTGGCCAAATGCTCACCAGCAGACACAAGTGGTTTTTAATGGGAAAAAGTGTTGAATTAGCCAGCTGGCTAACACCGGCACATGTACAGTAATGTCGATTAATGTCGACTAAATACATAAATGAAAAATTAAAATGAAATAAGAGAGGGAGGCCGTTACAAAAGAAAATAAAAAAGTTAATATAATGTGATACCTGAACTCTGAGTATGATTTTATGTTCAAGGTTAACAACAACTGATGAAGGCAGGGGCAGCAGAGAGTGAGAGAGAGCAGCAGAAGGGGGTGACAAAAAACAAACATTATTATTGATGAAAACAAGAAAAAAACAAAAAAAAAAATGATCAAAGGAATCCTTGCTTCATTCACTCTCATCGATTGGCATCGGAGAAAGGTTAAAGGACTTTTAGAGTCCGGTGGCGTGATTCACTAGACGGGAAAACAACTGAATGACTGCGAACCGATTGGCCCCGCAGCAAGATAAGGAGTTAATGATTTGCATCTTCCAGAAGAATCAGATGTTTTGAGGAAGGGCTTGCTGAGTTCAGACACTTTGTACAAAGGGATAGGATCAGTGGGGTGGGAAATGGGTAAGAGTTTTATCAGATGTGTCTCCACCGCTCCTCTCTGCCTCTGTAAAATATTAATAGATGCGGTTTAGGAGTGGTTGCTTGGGTTTGTGATGAAATGTCTTTTCATAAGGAGGGTATGACCTCTGTACAGGCAGCGGAAAAATAAGGTCAGCGTGCCTTACAAGCTCATAAACTCTGTTATGGAAAGCCACCAAGCTGCCCTGTCTGAAGATCACTAAAGGTCACTGCTGTCATCTGATCATGTCTGCTGAGTGAAAATTAGGATTAAAGTTCTGTAATATTTCACCTCATTTATTTAGAGACCCAACACACTGCTTCACATTGGAGAAATACTAAAACCCAAAGACATTTGAGTCTGGAAGACAAAAATAATGATATTGTTAAGTGTGAGTGGAGACTTTGCATTTCAGCTACAGTATATTTTGCATCCCGTTTTCTTCTGAATTGGCGATGGATAAAAAATATTTGATGATTTCATGTTTTCACAGTTAATTATTAAGTGACACTGGGAAAAAAGCAAGGTAAGCCACAACACATAAGCCAGATTTAACGGAGACAAATTGACGCTGGCATTTATAACCAAGTATAAAATGCTAAACACTCTGTATATAAGCTCTGTAACCTTGTCACATCACACTGTACCTGCGATTATAAAACAGACAACTTGACACGACGACTACGATAGCATCACTCCCCCTGTGTGGCAGGAGTTCTAATTTTGCCCTACACAGTTTTTGCATAATTAGAGATGTCTATTTAACAGCAGCCACCATGTTGACACACTTATGTTTACACAGTATGCATCCTTTTTAAACTAGAGAAGCATAAAAATACAAATTAGGTGAAAACATATTGTCTGACAGTGGCACATACAGTACGTATAGTTTGACAAGTTCCAGGTTTCATATTTTGCTTCAAATTGACAAAGACCTAATCTCAGCACATTGTGCTTCTTCCTATTTTATAACACATGACCACACACACCACACAGGACTTGCTGGTAAAAGAAAAAAAACTGAAAAACAACATTCAACAAGTAAATGTAAAGACAGACAGGAAGCAACAGAGTGACAGAGGAAAGAATACATGAAAAAAAAAAAAAAATCCAGTATAAAATCAAATAATAGCATTCTGCCCATAAAAACAGGGCAAATCTTTTCAAATTTAAAGAAATACATAAATAAAATGGGCATGATAGCTATGTATGTTTGTATCTGAATACCATGGAGTATATTCCTGTGATAAGACATTTAAAAAAATGTATTGGACATTTTGATTTGACATTTATAGTTCTCTGGTTTCACGGTTGACTGAACATGCAAATGGTTATCAGTGTAAAGATTATGGAGAAATAATATTTAAAAATCTCAAACCCATTCCCTTCCTATGCCTTTGCTCATTGTTCACCTGTTTGAATCCTGTTTTATATTAATGTACCGTACAGATGAGGACACACCTTACTAATCTTAATAACTGCACAGCAGTAGGCTAGATAACCCCTTTTTCTTCACAGTGGAAAAGTAGCGGTCCAGGTAAAAGGCTGCTTGTATGTAATGTTTTTAACATTGTAAATTGCTTCTAGTTCAGTAAATGACTCAATTTAAATCTGGTTTTCCTTGGTTAAAAAACTGTTTGAGGCAATTGTACTTAATAATGGTAAACCTCACTCTTTGACAGACAACCCATTAATAGCAGAATAGATTTTCTTCACTTCATAAAACACCAAATACAATAACAAATGTTATTTCACTTCCCTGACACTTACAGAACAGTTCAAAAGCAAATAAAACAGGAACAACATTAAATATACAGAACTATATAAAATGTACACAGCAAAAACAAATTTATCACACACTACAAAAAATAACTTACTGAAGGAGTAGGGGTGATATACAGGCCCATTGTTGAGTTTCACATCTCTGTTGCCAGATGTCCTGAATACACATATTATGAAGCTTGTGAGGTTAACCATAACACTTCCTCATCTCATTGGTCATGTTACCTGCACTAATTATCTCTGAACACTGCAAGAACCAAAATACAGCCACAAAGGCCTGTTCAGAAACACAGTAAATGGCTCTGTCATAAAAGAACTTCCTAAAATTTACAAATAATTAGTGCAGATTACGAGCAGATTAACAAATGATCTAACACGTCTGCAGTGTTGGAGCTGAATAATGGGGCCAGGAGGACAAAGATTTTAGGATTAGAGAAAGAGTGCAGTCACCAACAGTGTTATCACCCGCTTCGGCCTGAAATCAAACAAGAATCAAAGTCATATCCATGAAATAGTGAACATTATAGTTACCTCGTCACATACCTACACAGCACACCACACGCTAGTTCACGGTTACACACACGTGCCTAGTCACTAGAGAAAAAACAAAGCTATTCAGTAGTTAAGCCACTTTTGGTACAATTGCAAAATAGAGAGATACTGTATATCAAACAGATTTCGCTATACCTTTTTTTTTTTTTTTTTTACAGGTCGTTACAAACAATGCAAAGATAATTGTCTTTATAAAACTCCAGACTCTACCATACATAGACAAAGATTCTTTGAGTATAGAACACCACATAAGACTACTTTTATGGTAAAGCTCATGTGAGATGACAGTCCATTTGTGTGACTGGAAATTCAGAGAAATATCTTTGTTATCCTTGCTAGCTGACTGCACTGCCAGTGATCACATTTGCTCTTGCAAAGTGAGCTTTGTGATTAAAAACAAGAGGAATGCAACATAAACCACTTTGTTTTGGAGCAAAAATGTTGCTGTGGGTGTAATAACTTAGATTTCCGAGTCAGTCAAATTCATAAACATAAGAATCAAGTAAATAACATAAAACAGATTCATGGACTTTTGCTCATAACAGAATATTATCTCTCCGAAAAGCATATTCTGTGTTAAAAAAAAAAAAAACAAGGGTAAATGGGGTGTGCTGTTTTGCAGACCCATTCATTTTTTTCTTTAAGCGAATGAACTGCCAAGTCACATAAATGGGTGTTATTAGTATTGTTATTAATCCTGCTGGCTACTACACAGCTCATACAACAATGCACAGCGAGAGTTAAATGCTGTCACAATCCGATTCCTGATTGGTCAGTGTATCCCAATAAGCACAGGTATAAGCAAACACCTCCACTGAATCTCCACCGTCCTTCCACAATTCCTCATGTCCTCTTGACTTCTTCTTGATGCATAACATTAGGAGACCAAGGCACTTGCCCTTCCAAATTTCTCAAATATATACTTTTGAGAGGAACTCAAACAGACAGAAGACAACTGTATCTTAATTCAGCTCAAGTGTTCAAACGACCATTTCCCTGAAAATTCTCACCACCTGAGATAAGGTCACTGACTTTCAATAACTTTATCTCCTTTTTTCTATTGTATGTTGCATTTTTTTTTTGGTAAATATCAATTGTCCTTTTCTCTCCTCTTTCTGTTAGATCCAGGAAGTACTGTATGTTATAATGGAAGCCAGTTGGAATTGAAAAAATGGAAGGACAGAGAAATAATAGATAAGAGAGAGCGAGAGAGAGTCGGACATAGAAAGTGAAGAGACCGTAGAAAAAAATACAGCTAACTAAATATAGCAATACTAAAACGAACACGCGCCACAGAATTTCACAGAATTCCTGATATATAACAATTCACACACAGAGAATACACTTTGGACCTCATGTGAATGACAACACAGTACAAAACAGTAGAAATACAGTTACCACCATTGTGTAATATATATTTTTCTATAGTACTTTTCTGAAAAAGTTCTTGGCTAGGTGGAGCAAGATGGGACTTCTCTGCAGCCACTGAAATCAGCAGGTCACGTGAAATCTTGTGTATTCTTTTGGAACTCAGGGACCATATGTAATCTATGTTTTAGAATATTTTTGGAGTTAATTTAATGTTGGACATCTTGGTTCAGTCAAATGACCACTTCAGATCTAGTGTGCAAATGTGTGAGGATTATATTGGATTTGCAGATATCTAAATCAACCAGCAGTAAAACCTGACACTGAACATTTGACTGATTTAAATGGCAACTGAACAAAATTGGATGATTATTCCAAAGAGTTTGGGGCATTTATGTTTTTTTTGTTTTTTAAAATTTTTTCCTTGGCCTGGAATAAACCAATTCTCAAATTCTCTGAATTATCCGGGCTTTCAGTGACCATAGGAACCCTGTCTATCTGTGCTGTGCTAAATGATCATGCGCTGACCAAGGGCTTGCATCTTTATAGTCTCAATAACTGTCCTCTGCTTCCATCCTTCCCTTCACCTGCACTGATCTGAGACAGGTGACAGGAACATGCTGAGACAAAGAGGTCGAGACCGCCCAGCTGTTTGAAGTCAGTGCAGGTGGAGGACAGGGGAGCAGTAGAGAAGAAGAATTACTCTGATTCAGCTGAACTCCATCCCGATACATCCTCATCTATCTTTCCCTCCCTCAAGACCGTGCATCTGTTTTTGACTTCACTATTGTAATCACACTCGTCGCTGTTGCCACTTTCCCTGGTATGAGTGGACCGATGACTGATGATGCCACCCCTCCTCCACCCCCTCCAGCCCTGACCCCGACCCCAACAGTGGGGCTCCGTGCCACAGTCCTGGCGAAGGTCTGTAACGCCTCGTACTTAGACCTCAGAGCGTCCAGCTCAACGCGCATCGAAGCATTCTCATTGGCCAGTTTGTCCACCTCCTGCTGCAGCTGGGCCTTCTGCTTTTCCAACTCCTCCTTCTGGGTGACTCGCTTCACCCGGCAGCTGGCAGCATAGCCCCGGTTCTTCAGGGTGCGCCGCCGCTGTTTCAGTTGCAGGATCTCTTCTTTGGAGAGCCCTCGGAGGTGCTGGTTCAGCTCCCTCACTGACATGGTCACCAGCTCCTCGTCTGTGAGGCTAGTGCCATTCTCCCCCGGCTCGCGCTTCACCTGGAGGAAATGGGAGGGGAGTGAGACAGAGACAAGGCAACATTTCAGACACTGATAATTCAGTTTTAAACGTGCACCCTCTTACCTTCAAGGCTTTATTTCCTTTGTTAGGCGTCGTCATGCCACAGGAGCCTTGCTCTTCTGAACAGACCTACAGAGACACAGGAGAGCACAGAACATAAGCAAAGAACATAACAGAGTAATTGCATAAAAAAAGACCCTCAATCTGTTTAAGAACAATCACAGCTCCTTGTAGTCAATAAAAACAGATTAATTACAGATCAATACCTGGACCAGTGGAGACATTCCAAATCTAAATCTGCTGTTGGAGCACTGTTGTGTGAGCATGTTACAGTATTATGCATCAGTAGTTAGTATGTATCAGGGTGTATGAGTGAAAGTGACTCACAAACTTTTCTCAGAATTTCCCTGACTTCCTGTTTCCTGGTGGTTACACTGACAGTGCCCACTACCTTTGTGTTGTTGAACTCTTATTGGTTGGCTTCAGGCCAATAGTAATGAAATGAGCGTGAAAGAAGAGGAAGTGGTAAAACCTGTGGGAAGAACTCCAGGGGAAAACCAACTGTTAGAGCCCTGACACAAACACACACACACCTTAGAAGAGACTGTCGCATAGAGACTGGAGTGAAGACGAAAGACAGATAAAGATGCCTACACCCACTTTAGATAAAATAATTAATATTTAATAACCCAGCACAACAGATAATATGATGTATACGCATTTGCACCAACATGTTAACAAAGGACAAAAGGATGGAGACACAGCAGTGTGAATCAGAAGTCAACAAAGAGGGAGCGTGGAAGTGCAAAAGATGAGATCAGTCCTTAGAGCACACAGCTCCACAGATGAGCATCTCCACAAGCTCTCAATGAGATGCTTTGTGTGGTGCATTGGTCTGGCTCTCATCTCTCAGACCTGAGTGTGCGCGCGTGTGTGTGTGTGTGTGTTTGTGTGTGTGTTCGATAAAGGGCTGCTATTGTTGCTGCTGCTGAGCGATCATCATGAGACCAGTCATGATGACTCAGCAGATTCCTGATCTCACAACCCCCCCCCCTCGCCACGCAAATTTCTGCCCTCCTCTGTCACTTTTTATCCCCCTCCCACCCTTCCTCTCTTTTTTTTTTCTGCAACCCTTTAAGTTCTTCCTGAAAAGTGAAGGTGTGCCCGAGTGGGTTGGGGTTAACATGATGAGGATGTGCTTGCATATGATTGGTGAAATGCATTTAAAAAAGATAAATAAATAATGCTGCTCTCCAGCCAAACTGCAACACCTGATACTGCTGAATCAGAAGTTTAGTTAAACCGACCTGCTGATTAAAGACAGCCTGTTCTCTTACTTTATATATTTATACTCTCTTATGTATTTTAAAAAAAGTAAGAAGCAGATTTGGAATTAAATTATATTTCTGCAGTCATTCACAAGATGAGTAATTTAGAAAAAAGCTCCTTGTTTAGGGAGGGGATGACATTGAAGTGACACAAGGTAATGTGTCTGTTCTTGTTCATTCTTATTCCTTACTGTCAAAAGGCACTGAGTGTGCCAGTGAGCCTCCCCCACAATGCACCTCTGTCTGTCTGTGAGGGTGCATGAGTGTTTGTACGTGCGCTGCCACAAATCCTACAGTTATAAATAGCCATAGATCAAAGAAAACGTACTGACAAGCACATACGAGTAATCGTGCATGCACACAAAACACATCAAATGCACAACAACTTAAAAATTCTGTTAAAAATTCAGTGAAATGATGAAGAATATGGGAAAAGAGCAAGGCTACAGTTTGACTCATGTTTGAGGTCTGCTATCAGAGCAATGGCGCTGCTTAATTCGGAGCATTTAGCTTCAGTACTTGAAGCACTGCTTATTAGGTTTGGGTCAGTCAATTATCAACACTTTCATTTAACCGTGTCTGTAAAGAGCTTCTTCTAAGTGTCTTCCATCCGTGTGTACCACTGCACTCTCATTTTGTTGGGATGCAGCCTTCCACAGCTGGAGGTGCATCATCGCACAATAGATGGATCAAAGACACGAAGAGTGAGGGTGGGTGTTGGGGGTGGGGGTAGAGAAGAGAGGGGGGACAGTGAAAACAGAGGGGGCAAAAGGAGGTTGTTTTCCTGCCAGGCACTGGTTTATTTCCCAAGTGCCCAAACCCCAACCCCCATCTGCATACAAACAAAAAAAGCATGCCGGCAAGCACATACACACACACATTCCCCTGCTGCAATGCCAGTGGGGCACGATAAAACACACACGCAAAACGGTCGACTGCAAACACACAAATGTGCAAATGTAGTTATGTTTAAAGTGCTAAACAATGCATGATACATGCAGAAATCTAATGCATGCATGGTTCAGAGGTTTGATTCCATATTTGAAAACATAATTACATTTTTAGGGAATTTTTAGTTGTCTTAGATTAAAGCAACCAGCAAAAAGCATTGTTGCAGGTGCACAAAAGGTATCTATATCTGTGCTGGTACAGCTCCTTTGTAGTCATTTATGGTATCTGCAAATGTTTCACTGTCTGCAGTTTGTAAATTTGTTGAATAAAGATAAAAACATGTGGCATATTTGGCTATAAACAAAGTAAACAGTAACTAGATCTGGTTTAACTGGGAGTTAAATCCATCTAAGTCATACTGACCATTTATAAAAAAGATGGTATCAGTGCTATGTCTATGTCACTCCAGTTCTGGACATTTGGTGCATGTCATAACCTTGTCTCTCTCCTCTTGTTTCTTGTCTGTCTCTATACTAATACCCTATACCACTTGTCCAATAAACACAAAAAGGCCCAAAGAATTATTTTTTAAAACTACCATTTAAAGATTTGGCCTACAAATTGTCTGAAAATTGTGAAAAATGCCCATCAGTTTGCCAGAGCCCAAGGTAACATCTAAAACCCAAAGACATTAAGTGTGGCACATGTTAACTATTAAAGATGACTGAGAAAATTAACTGATAAACATATTATCAAAATTGTTGAGTGAAAGGTATCATGTGGAGTTTCTGACCACGACTACTGCTAACCAGCCATTGTTTTATGCTTGGGTCCCTGTTTTGTTTGTCTCATGCATGAGCATGAGGACAAACATGCATGTGGGCAATGAGATATACAGTCACATTATTCTTCTGATGGACAGTTGGTGAAGGTAACGCAGCATGAAATTCAGCAATGGATCAGCAAAGGCAGAGAGGAAGACGAAGACTGCACACTCGTAAACATGGATATAAACAACACTAGATTTGAAATGTTCAAAAATATTGGCACTGCATAGTTGTTATGAGGAATTATATTTAACACTGATTGTAAGAATATTTGTTTGTTTACAAGAAAACTCTACAGGGCACCTTTAATGTTCGCCTAACAAACTAATCAGTTCATTGTTTCAGCTCTAGTGGTAGTAGTGGTGGTAGTTGTATACACTCTACACACATGTAGAGGGGGGCTGTATATTAAGTTTGGGTCCTATTTCATCAAGGTTAGATGAAAAAAAAACTTGACTTACACCACAGTGTAAAACTGCAATAAACTAGTTTGTGTGTGTGTGTGTTCTGTGAGAGCTCAGACCATGTGTAAGTCACCCAGGTTAAGGATCATCTGCTGAGCAAAGGCATCGCCATTCATCTTGGGCATACACACACACACACACACACACACACACACCAGCACACAAGTGCCAGAGGTGTCCTTCCCATAATGCTTGCGGGGTGGTCGCTGCGGTGTGGTCAATGCCACAGCCACTGTTGCTACAACAGACAGCTTTTTTGCTGTGGCAGGCTGTATTTTTATGGAGCAACCAAAAGAACGCTGACGACTCAAGAGCAGAGCTGCTTACGGTTACAGTGGAGAAACAACACACACACGTACACACACACACACATACACAAACACAGAGAGGACGGGACATGGGGATGGAAGAAGAGGTGATAAGCAGTGGAGATGAGTAAAATATGGCTGGAAGAGAAGAAAAGAGAAGAAAAGAGAAGAAAAGAGGGTGAGGAGTTGGTAAGATAGCAAGGTGAAGAACGACTAGGTAAGAAAGGTGGGGGGGGGGGGGGGGGGGGGGGGGGTGAAGGAGGACTGAAAGAATGCTGACGTCTCCAGAGCTGATTAGCGTTACAGCGGAGACATCACACCCACAGCCGAGAAAAATGCTGAGTATGGAGGGAGGACGGGGTGGGGAGTGCAAATGACAAGGGAGGAAGAAGAGAAGAAAAAGAGAGGCAAGTGAGTACGGGGAAGGAGCAGGAGGAGGAGGAGGAGGAGGAGAGGTGGGGATGGAGGGAGGAACACCGATGAGGAGGAACAGGACGGGGGGGGCAGGGACTGAGGAGGAGGAGGAGGGGGTGGGAAAGTGTTTGAGTGAAAATGCATCCTCAACACATTTGTAAGAGCTTAGCTGTTGGGTGGAGGGGGGACCAAGGAGGGAGGAATGGATGGAGGGGGATTGGGGTTGAAAAAAAAAAAAAAAAAAACCCTGAACTCAGCAACGACCACGACTAAAACCTCCAATTAGAAAAGTTCTGAAGCTGATCCAGTGCAATGAAACTACTGCTGACCATCTCTCTCTCTCTCTGCCCCACAACCTTCTGCTCTCTATCACACACAAACACAAACACAAACACAAACACACACACACACACACACACATACACACACACACACACACACACGAGAAAAGCTTCACATCCTGTCTTTGTCTCTGCTGGAGAAGGGATGAAAACAAGAGTAATAGTGAGGCAGAAGGTGAACTCAGCGATGATGGGACTTATAGAGATAGATTAAGAGCACAAGAAACAACACAAGACATGTAGCAGGACTCCTTTCTCTTCATTCAGTGCAGACAAACAGGATGACGACCTGTGTGTGTGTGTGTGTGTGTGTGTGGCCTCAGACAGAGCTCTAATTAATCCTGTTTGAGAGAACCTTTTGCTCTGGCCACTACCGCCACACAGAGAGGAATTTCTTAGAAAGAGACTTCCTACTTAAAAGCTGGTGACATGCTGCACAGACATCCACACACACACACACACACACACACACAAACACACACACACACACACACACACACACACACACACACAGTAAAATAAATAGCCAGATTAGGCGCTTCAAAAATGACCTGGG